CTCTTCTATTGAAGTTTTTGACAAAACTAATTATTTTGGTTTTTTAAAAATACCATATTTAACAACAATTTACTTATTTATTATACGTCAGTTAAGTTTTATAATGGATATATATCATCATTAGTATTAATTTATTAGTGATAGTTAAATGTTTCCTATAAACTTAACTACTTCATTTATTCGAAATGTATGCAAATGAGGTTATTTCACATTCAATTTTGAACCAATTTACTTTGCTTTCAAGTTAATACTGAATTTATTTATTAGATATATGCTATTTATAGTTAATATCTGAATCCACCAGTTAGTTTCAAAAACTGATGAAGCGTAATTTAAATTTTGGTAGTGTTCCTACTCTTAAAAACTCTATATAGAAAAGGGAAAACCTGAAAAAAATTTCACGATTTCTCGAATATAAGTAACACAGATTTATTCATATAAATGAATACAAAATGATTTCAAACATTACGAATTGTTATCATTGCAGTTTGATTATCTGTAACGTTTGGATAATGAAATATTTTTTAAAAAAATATAAAATGCAAAATATTTTTATTTTCTTTGAAAATTTAACAAATAATTGTTATGAATAATTTTAAAAAAAATTAATTAAATATCTAGATTATAACAATTTGTTAAATTAATATATATGGTAAGTAATATATAGGCTAAAAGGCGGTTCAAAAATCAGTTAACCGATTCCTGAAATGAAAATATATCTTAGTTCACTGTCTTCTGGGCCACAACTGTGTTTTTCAAAATGTATAAAAATTATCACAAATAATTAGCAAAAATATATTATTAGAATATATTACATTGAAGTGAAACTTAAGAAATTAATGGTGTAAAATTTTACAAAAACTTTAGTCGAACAGTATATAATTATAAAATATTTTCTTCAAACATTGATTATTGTCGATAAGACGTGTTTAAATGTGAAGCAGAGTCTTAACTGCACATTCATCATCTGTAGCTAAACACTAATATATAAGAGATTCTTCCTAATTGCTAATTACGATAGATTTACCTTACTAATCGAAGTCAGATAACCTAAATGTATGAAACTTTAGCCATTTTAAACTCTTTATCCGCAGCTTCTTGTTACAAGTAATTATCATTAATCTTACAGAATGACTTAATGCATGATACTAATAAAGATAATTAAGTAGTTGGAGCATAAAGCTTTTGTTGTCGTGCCAGATCTAAGACCAATGTCTTTGAAACAATTCTCATCTCAGCTGTTAATGAAGGGCTAAACGTTGATTGATTTGCATTACCTTTGCATTTACTCTTAATTGTCTACAGATGTTCTTTCCTTAAATTTCAATTGTCTCCTTTTATCGCGTTTTAATAGATCTGAAAAGAAAGTGAAAGAAAAATTAATGACGAAATTTAAATTAGCTTCAGCACTATTTATTTATGATAATAAGCTAATTTATTTTATTTAAAATTAAATTCTAATAGAAAAGAAGTGGGATTAAACATTAAAAGAAACGTTAAATGTCTTCAGCCAAACTTATTATTAAACAAATAAAATTGTTTTCGAATATAATTAGTTAGATATCTAATTTTTTTTTCCTCGTTTGGTGCTTACAACCTACATAATTTAATTTAAAAAGTGTTATCTCGGTAGGTAATATATAAAACTTGACAAAGTTTCATTAATCGTTTCATTAAAGAATAAGCGAAAATCTTAATTAACTTTTTATCGAAGATAATATAAGAAATGTTTGCTCGAGGAGGAGATGAAGATAAAGGAGTACTATGTTGACATTTTGTAAAGTAAATAGACAATAATATCATCATTACCAGCGTTAATTTATTAAAATATTTTTCTTTCATTTTCATACTTTTCGAAAACTTAAATTTTAACAAGTTACCTTATACGAATACAATTTTTGAATAACTTTTCGCCCTCTCTCTCTCTCTCCCTCTATTGTATACAATTGTCTATTTTTGGAAATCCCTTCTTTTTTAATTACGTGCCCCATATTTCACAGATCACCCCGAAACTGAAAAAATGACAAAAATTCTGAAAATATTATCTGATAGTTTTTTTACTAATGATGTAAAACAAATTTGTATGCAATTAATACTATTAACGGCATGTCCACGTAGACAATGTCTCTACCCTCTCAAATGTGTACGTACAATGATGTACTGTACTTTTACTTTGACGCCCTTCCATCCTTAAATTATACACGTAATTTAAAATAATTAATTTTTCTTACTTAAAGTCATACCGTTTAAATGATATTAAATACTTTATTGGTTATTTACTTGAAACTTTTTGTGTTTTATACCATTACCGAATAAAACTTTATTTTTTTCTCTCTTCTATGGATAGTGTGTGCTTTCAAGTTTTTGGGTATCAAACGGAAATAGAGCATCCTTTCTTATCCTCCGCCAATGTCATCCAACCGGACGAAACGATTCCTGTTTACAATTTCCGATCACGCCTTGTCAAAGAAACTGAATCCAATGGAAAAGAAAAAGGGAAATGGCCATGTCGTAACAGAGATAGTGAATTCTACTACTGTACAGATAGGTGATGTCCAGATGCTTTTGACGTTGACCAAGCGAAGATACCGTCTGACTTTTATAACAAAGATGATCATCATTGATGCTACTTTGTGATTAAATTTAATCATACATAAAAGGATTTCATTATACTAAAACATATTAAATTAATAATAAAAGCTGATGTAACGAGTGTGGTAAAGCTATAAATTAAAAAAAAAAAAACTTGTGAGCTACAACAACAAATCCAATATAAACAACGCTATTCTACTATAATACAAGAGTAATATATGAGCTTGCTAGTGATAACTGAAGTAGCGTTATTTTTACAAAGTAATTCTCTTATATCAGAACTTCTTTGAATGGCAGAATAATGATAGTACAGTATGAATTGAGGCAACAATTTGAAAGAAGAGATGACAACTAATAACAGAGATACAGACATGATGACCTTCTAATTCTGGAATAATGCTTTGGGTCATCAATATTATAGATTAGAACTAATTTATTGTATTTTATGATAAATTTCAAAGATATTTTTTCAAGCTTCTATCGCTTTTTATTTCAGGAAATTCTTATAAAAAAAATTATCCAGAACAAAACTGTTTTATATTTATAAGAAACTTAACTATTAATTAATAATTTTTATTTTTAATTAACTAAATCAAATTACGAGACTAAAAGAAATGGATAAAAATAAAATAATAACATTAAAAAATTCATTTTAAAACATTTTATTAAAAATTTTAAAAAATTTAATTCATATTACACATAAATTATTGCTAAAATACACTCACTTTATTTATAATTTAATTATTATCAGTATTAAAAATAAATGTTAAAAAATTAAAACTTAAATATTTAAAATTAAATTAAATTTAAAAAAAGAATAAAATAATAATTTTTTAAAGTTCTTCTTAACTTTTTTTTTGTAGAACATATAAAATTTTAAGTTTAAAATCACGTAAATACTTCTTAGTATATAAGAACAGAATATAAGAAAATATAATCTTAAAAAAAAGTAAACATGTCTGTTTTCTTTTCTTCTTAACGTGAACTTTTATTTATTTATTTTTTTTCTGAAAAAATAAAGAAAAGTGTTAAGCACTCACTTCTTATTCTGAAAAAGTAATTAGGGAAATTGCGCGTATTGTAAAGGAAATGTTGCAAAAAGCAATTAAACATTCTCTTTAAGTTCTTTGTTAAGTTTTAAGAGAAGTATTAATTGGAGTTAGGAATAAGTAATTGATAAAAATTACATTGTTCCTATTTATTACTTTACTCTAGACTCTAATTTTTTCCCCTTCCTAATTTTTTTTTCCTTTTCTTAAGTATTTTTAATTTTAAGCCAGATCTGTCAATAAAAGGTTTCTAAAAATTAGAGGATGACTTTACTCTTATTAATTAGCATCATTTTGTACCGGTTAACAACTTTTTTTCTTCTTCTAAAGTTAAATATTTTTTAAGATCAAAANATAAATAATTAATTTTAGTAAAAAAAAAAGAAGACCTTCTTTGTTTTAAGACCAATTTATTATAATTTAAACAATTAAATTTAAAATTAACCCATTTTAAAATTCAATAGATTAAACTGTATTGTAAAAAAAATAAATAAAAATTTTTGTATAAATAATTTAATTTTTTGAAATAAATGATAAAATAAAAAAAATTACAAAGTAATCAACCAAAAGAATCATTTTAAATTTACAAAAATAATATTTGAACATAATAAAAATTGACTAAATTAAAATATATAACGAGAAAATTTATCACGCATAATTAATTTTATATTAAAATGTAAGCATGAAATTTTTAATATCCCTAAATGGGCATTCAAATTATTTTGCATTGTCGATATTTTTCCATTAAAGATCTCCATTTTTCATATTGCTAAAGCGCTATGATAAAGTAAAGCAACTCATTTCTACCACCTGTTGCTTAACTTAAATAGGCTTATTTAAATTTTATCCATCATTTGTTTACAAAGCTTAGAAATATCCACATTATACATAAATTTCATCAAGTTTCAACTACTTTCATTTACTAAAGTGCACAAAGATTTCGCGTTACAAAATCTCGAAAATTGGATTTGTTTTTTTTTCCCTCTCCTCCTGTTTTAAATTCTAGTAAAATAATTCAGAAGCTTTCGTTATTGTTACTTGTTACTTTTATTTTTCTGTAACTATGATACCGCAAAAAAATTCGATTTTTTAAACAATTATTTTCAAAAAGATGGAATGACCCTTGAAAGAAAGAAAAAATAAATAGAAAATATAGAAAACACAGAAAAAATTTCTTTTGGAACTAATGAGTATTATTACTTTTGTTGTAGCAATCCAAAGAAACACAATTAAGAAAATTATGTTTGTCTAAATTAATTTTTATTTTAATCGTTTGAATTTACACTTTAAAACTTAATTAACCAATAAAGTAAAAATAGAACATTAATTTTTAATAAATAAAATGAAAACAAAACTAACCGATAAGTCATCCTGATCAATACAAGTCGTATAATTAGACCACGTGCGATTGGTATGGGGATGTCTGTACCACGTCCCATCTTCGTTACATATTTTGTGAGCAAATCCTGATACACAATTTACATAAAATTTTTATTAATTTTGATTTATTAAAAAATATTGATTTTACTACTTACTTTCAGGTAAAAAACCAGTTATGAACGTTGGACAAGTGATGTAAGCAGTCTCTCCAGCGGGTGTATCGTTCCAACATCCCCATCCATCGAAAGTACGTAAGCAATATTTCCTACCTTTTTTTTAAATTAAAATTTATAATTAATCACCGCAAAAACTTTTGTAAAGTTTGAATTTTTAAAGTGCACTCACTAAACTTTTTTTTGCGAAACAATCGATATTTGTGGTAAAATTTAAAATATTTATACATAAACTTACCATCCTTAGGCCGAGGTTGAGATAATACATTATCGATACATTGATTGAACGCATATTCGATCGCAGAAACGGAGTAAGGAATTTCTTCTAGTTTTGCAAACTCATCAAAGAGATAGAACAATAATTCCTGATCCGTATTCTAATAATATTTAAATTAAATATTATAATTTAATTATTATATCTTACAGATACTAGATAAAGTTACAATTAGTAATTAATAAGCTTTTAATATTAAATTAATGTATTAAGAATGTTATTGCTTATTAGCATAATTAGTATGGGACCGTTCATTGATTAGGTGTACAATTTTTCAGCCATTTTTGACCTCTCCCTTTCTGTTGTGTGCAATGGTGTACTTTTGACAANATATGGTATAAATGATTTACTTAATAATCCTCACATAAATTTATTTTATAATAAATGTGTACATTAAATATATACATTTTTATATATTTTTCTTTACTATTTAGTATATCATATATATATATATTGATTGCCAGATATATCCAAGAAAGAGTTGAGCATTATTAATTTTCATGAAACAATCTGTTTAGAGAGTAAATTAAATTATTTTTTAAATTAAAAATCATAGAAATTAATATGTTTTTAAAATACTTTTGAGAGTAAATGGTACAGTAAATGTGTTATAAATCTGTTTAAAATTTTTTAAAATTTACTATTTTCTACGGATTTGAAAAAGTAATTATTACTTTTTTCTAATTATTTTTTTAAATTTCTAAATATTATCTAAAAAATAATGGCAACTATTTATTCAGAAATATTTTAATTGGGATGAAGACCTATGCATTTCCAATGCCTGTTTGTCTGTCCTTCGTAATCTTGTGAAAGGAGTTATACAGATGGAAGTCAAGACTATAAAAGGAAAGATTACTATATGTCCGGACCGGAAGTCACATTACACTTTTTTTAAATAAAAAGATTATTAAAAACTGCAACCCGGCATTTTGATTTATATTTTATTACCATTTAAGCGCCATTTTAATCATTATAATGATATGATAATTCTCAATCAGAACAATTAAATTTGTTTATACTACTGTAAAATGTAAGCATTAAATACGAAATTTCACTGTAAGATGATGTATTTTCAACGAGAAAAAATAATTATGACATCGTCATAATGCCGGGCTGCAATTTTTAATCATATTTTTAATTTATATAATTAAAAATATATGCTCTCAACCTCAAATTAGTAGTGGATTGCCCCTGTAAATCATACTTTTCCTGATAACAACAGAGTTATGCTGGTTATCTATGTAACTCCATTCTGGGAAAATTTTTGAATTGAAAAAACGTAACTTCCGGTATAGAACGGAAGTATATAGTTAATCAGGGCCTACTGTCCCTACTCTTTCTATATCTACTCTCGACATTAAGGAAGGACAGACAGTGAGAATTTACAGGTCTATAATTTCTTCAAATTGTAGCCCAATAATTACTAAAATGTTTTCTCTGAATTAAACATTAAATATATAATATCAAAATGAATATAAAATATTCTCATATATTGTTAACAGGGTAATTATTTTTGCAAGAATTTAATTTGATTGTATAAGTTACATTTCATTTACAGCCCACAGTTTATCTATTATAAAGTATAAGTAATAGATCTAATCTATGTATAATTTAGAAAGTTTATGCCAGGTACTAGGCACTAACAGCTTCATATTTGGCTCATTAAACTCGAGGAATTCACATAAATATTTAGAATAGGATAATACTGTATAAATAGCAATAGAAGAGAATTACAGTAATTATTTTGTTTATGGTATATTTACTAACGTTTCAAAAATATTTAAATAATTTTATTACATTGAATTAAATTAACATTCAAACTATAAAACTTATTAACAATTTAGAATGTATTGCTCATTTATTTCACTTAAACTTTCAGGAAGGGCTTGAAACATAGTTTCAATTATTTCTCGGCATTTTTTATTTATTTTCGTCCTTAATAATTTTTACCATTACCTTTAAGGTCTTTAGATTGGTTCGTGAGATATTAAAGGGGCTAAAATTTTTTCTCAAAATTTCGAGAAATATTTCACTCTGATATACAAAGCTTCCTGCAAAATTTCAGAAAATTTCGGCAAAAGATGCAGGAGTTATTAAGCTTCAAAGTAGGTTGAAAAATCGTACTAAACACACATGCAGACTATAAAATCCACACATACAGGAAAATCCCCAACTTTCCCCATAATGTTTACATTTTTGAGTCCAAAAATATTAAAATCTTGAGGGGTAATTATTGTGAACCGATCGCCATACAGTCGAGATAGTAAAAATAATTAAAGTGTTCGAGTTTTAAAAGTATTTATTTTATATAAAACTTATTTTATTGATTATAAATTACTTGTCATATTCACAAAAACCTTCTTTAACTCAATATATTAACCCAAATAAACAAATATTGATTAGTTGAATAGTTTTCCTAGAACAGAAAATCTTATTCATGTATAATAACAAATAAGATTTGTTGCTGTACTTCCATTGATGATAACGTGATATCTATCCGTGCCCAATACATTATTACCGGTGATTACGTGTATATGAAAGTAATTTACTACATCTTCCTATTCTTATTTTGGAATGATTCCAGGATAGGTCATCTATTACAAGTAGTTGATGTTATTGCCAACACAACTTCAGTTAAGTAATTTACTTTAATTTAATTAATTTATATAAAGCTTTTTTTGAATTTTGTAAATTATAAATGAAATTAATTGTATTTACTATTTAATTACAAATTTAATTTTTTTTTAATTATACAATTATTCAATTTATATAATAAATTATTACTATGTTTTAATCACGTCATAAGTTTATATGTTTAATGTAAGTTTATATATTTTAATATTAATATAACATTTAACTTTAAATTAATAATTTTTAAAATTATTTATCTTTTACTTGTTATTAGAATCATAATGCACTTTTTCATTTACCGTCAGAAGAAAAAACAGCGCAGTTGTACTGTACTTTCCATGTAAAATTTTTCTTTCAAATGTTTATTATAAAATATTTCCCTCGTCTTTAAATAATTTATTCTCTTCCTTACTAAATATACTATTTTACATATTATAAGTATCTTATCTATGTTTTTCTTGTGTTGATTATTTAATTTGTATATAATTTTTATATAAAAATTAGAAGTAATAATGCTTCTTACAATGAAGAGCATTTAATTTTTTATTTAGATTTTACAATTATTCACATAAAATTTTATTTTATTACAAAATACTTAATTTAGAATACACAAAATACAAATTGAATTTTGTTTCTGTCAAATGTTTATTACATTATTTTAAAAATATATATTATTTATTTTACTGGGAAATATATGTATTCAATTCATATGAATGTATATTATATTTTATTAGATTGGTTATTTGGCTATTTAAATAAAAGAAAAAAAAATAACTTACAGAAATTTAGAAATAATGCGATTAATTTAGATAATTTCAGTAATATTTACAGTGCTATTTAAATGTTAAAATATTGAAGTAGCTCTTCAGTACAGCTTGCATTATTTTACTTATTTGTGTATATTTAATATTTAATTAAATACTAAAGTTTATTTTTAAAAAATTGAATATTTTAGAATAACAATTTCTTTTTTATATAGTATCTAAAAGAGAAATTTTCTATGCATTAATTTACAAAATATGTTATTAACATTCCTTTTCATTACTTTATCTTAGACGAAAATGTAATTTTTTCCTTTTATACATTTTATAAATATTATAATAATTTAATTTACAATCTCAAAAGATATTAATATTAGAATTACATTTATTTTAATATAAATAAAGAAATATATTAACAACACTTAATAAATTAAAAAATACGTAGGTTACTTTTTGAAATATATTAATATATTTTATATATATATAAACTTTGAATTTAAATGTAAAAAGTTGAATTTCTAAAGTTAATTTTAGTTAAGTTTGATATACTTTTCCAAGTCCCAAAGTTTAGAAAAGTATATCAAACGTAACTGAATAGCATAATATTGTTTGCTAGAATGAATACTAATTTATAATGGAGCTATTTTAAGAGAATAGAAAACGATGACGTGGAATTAATGAATTTGGCTTTGGAAGACTTTGGTTGTACTCGAGACAATTAACACAATTTAAAATACATAATGAATGAACTGGAGAAAACAGGAAGTCTTACTGTTCTATCTGATACATCGTGGACTAAAAAGATTGCCACAAATAGAATAAAACACAGCTAAATTGATAGAATAATTGTCCTATTTCCAAGTTTTGATATCAATATAAAGACAGGATACTTAAATAATAGAAATGCGGCATTTACAGTTAAGAAGGAATACAAAATTCTATGCTGCTCTATTTACAGAATTCGTTTTAAGCAATAGACCTATCGTTTTGGGGATGAGATCGTTTCCATTGAATGGATCTACGAACATACAGAATTGTTACATTTGGGAATTGGAAAAGTCATGAGCTCTCTCCATATTCTATCTACTACAGTAGTGCATGGTATACGGTTGCTATTGATCCATTCTTATTTGAAGAGATTCACTCTACATAGTATGTTATGCTCTTTTACAAGAAAGAGAGATTCCGAAACATGTCTGCTAATACTTTACTTCCACTTTCTTATTAAAAGATATACCGAAACATATCCATTAATACTATTATCCGACTTACTGTTTGTCTAAAAAATTCCTTACTTTTACTATGTTTATACAAAGATATAAATATTATATAT